TATTGTCGAAGGTAATAATGCCGGAAGGCTCTGTACTACATCAGTGGGTTCTCCGCCCAAAGCAGTTGGGGACTTTTTTGCAATGTTGAGTGACATTTGCAGCCTCACGGGAAGGGCTGTCGTTGCTTTATCGCAGCATCTGCACTCGCCCACGACCCAGCACCTACTTAGGACCCATTTGCAGGGCCCATGCTGGGAGTGACACGATCTGATTTGTGTTTTAAAATAGTAGTAATTGTTAAAAATTTTAAAACTGTGGTAAAAAAATCCAACATGAAATTTACTGTATTCACCATTTTTATGGCTGTGTTATGAAAAGACGCCCCTGGCTGCTGTGTGGGCGTTAACTCCAGTGAGCAAGGCAGGCAGGGGCAGAGGCCGACTCAGGGTGAGCTGGGGGGGCGGGGGGGGGGGAGTGTGGAGGGGGGGGAGCCTGGAGTGGCTCTGTCAGGAGCAGGTGGGACGTGGACATGTCACCAGAGAGCCACTGAATGTTCTGGAGGTTTAGAGGCGAGGGTATCAGAAAGCCCTGTGAGAAAGCCTTGACTGGCCTGAGCCTCAAAAGAGGGCACAGAACCCTATTGGGGAAGACCCAGGGCAGGGCTGGGGGTCCCCGATGAGGCCGAGTGAGCAGGGCAGGTGGTGGCGAGCGTGGCGTGGCCTGGCCGAGGTCCCCTGGGCAGTCCTGCCTCTGGGACAAGGAGGAGCGGTGGGCCCGGGCGAGGGTGCTGCCTGCAGCGGGCGGGTGATGCTGCTTCACCGTCGCGGGGCAGACTGGGACACAGAGAAAATCATGTCTGGAAACCGCTGAACGTTGTGCCTGGCCTGTAGCTTAAAATAAGTTAAAATGAGGGGTTTTGCGCAGGGAGTGACCAATCCCAGCTGAACTTGGACGTCTGTCAGGAACTGGGGAAGGCATGAGTTCCAGGAGGCACTTCCCCAGGCGAAGGCCACAGAGCGCCCGGGTCTTTGCTGGAGAAGGCGGCTGGGCTCCCGCAGGACCCCTGCTGAGTCTGGGCTCCCAGGCTGGCAGCACTGAGCTGAGAGGCAGGAGCCTCAGGGGTGGCCCCGCGATGCTCTGAGGTCTGAGCTGGGAGAGCTGGGAGGCTGTGCTGAGAATGCAGGGGGAAGTCAGGGCGAAGGGGTCATTGAGGGTCTGTGCTGGGCACACGGCCAAATGCCCGGGGGCTGCCCTAGGAGGCTCACAGGCCAGCTTCCCAGTCGGCATGTCAGCAGACAAGTCTAGCGCCCTTCCCCTAGCCTGGGGGACGTTTCTAGATGGGGATACTCTTTTTTTTCCTTTCATTTTGGCTCTTTATTTTTATTTGTATCCTTGTACTTTAGTGCTACTATTCTTTCTCTCTTTTTAAAAACGGTATCTTTATTGTTGAGAGTAGGGCAGATGTCCCCTAACTCCTGCTCCCCTGGGAGGGTGTGGAGGGTGAGCCAGGCCATTGGCAGGCAGGGCGGCTGCTAAGCTTCCTCCCTCCTCTTTCTCCGCGGGCGCAGGGGCTGCCTGTGAGCGTCTCTCAGCAGAAGCCACAGCTTCTCTCGGGGTCCAGCTCTCTCTGGTTTCACCTGCTTCCTCCCCTGACGGCCTACGGGTGAGAGCGGAGATAGCACCTTCCATATCTGGTCCGCCCAGCCCTGCGCACACCCTTGTAACGCTTCCTTTCCGAGCTGTCTCACGGCTGATGCCCCAGACAGAGGCCGGGCGTGCTCGGGGCCCAGAACCGGACGGAACATGTGGCTGGAGATGCCGCTGCCTAAATAGATAGAAAAGTCTCCAGTTTCCTCCTGCACTAAAGTGTTTGTTTGGTTTTTCTCATCACATTTTTAAAAATTATGGCAAAATGCACATAGTATAAACTTTGCCATCTTACGCATTTTAAGTGTTCGCTTCAGTGTCATTAGGTTCCTTCACATTGTGCAGCTGTCACCACCATCCGTCTCCACAGGACTCTCTTCACCTGACAGAACTGAAAGTCCGTGCCCATGGAACAGCGACTCCCAGGTGTCCTCCCGCAGCCCCTGGCCGCCAGCATCCTCTTTTCGGTCTGCATGGCCTTGACCACGTTGGCACCTCACAGAAGTGGTCAGACAGTCCTTGTCCTTCGGGGACGGGGTCGTCTTCACTCGGCATGTGTTCTCGAGGCCCAGCCATGCGGTGACGGGTCAGACGTCCTTGCTTTCTGGGCTGAGGAATGTGCCGCTGACGACACAGCGCGTTTTGTTTATTCGTCACCCATCAACGTGCCCTGGTGGCTTCCCCTCCGTGGCTGTCGTGAATGACGAGCCTGGGTGGGAGGTGCCTCTTCGAGACCTGCTTTCAGTGGGATTGCTGGGTGATATGGGAATGCGATTTTTGATATTTTAAAGGACTTTTTCATACTGATGATTACATCCTTTGGTGCACACAGCCTTTAATTTTGATGTGGTCCAGTTTATCTATTTTTTGTTGTTGCCGTGTTTTTGGCGTCATAGCTAAGAATTCGTTGCCATATCCAACGTCACGCAGCTTTCCCCTGTGTTTTCTTCTAAGACTGACACAGTTTTAGCTCCTACACCTAGGTCTTCGGTCCATTTTGAGTTAATTTTTGTCTGTGGTGTAAGGTAAGGTCCAACTTTATTCTTTTGCATGTGAATATCCAGTTTGCTTAGCACCATTTGTTGAAAAGACTGCGTGGTCTTGGCTCTCCACTAAAGCTTCATTCTTAGTTACTCTTCAGTTGATCTTTTAAAACTGTTTCTGTGGAAAAAGTTCTTCAAGTGTGTCCTTTCCACCTTCTTTTCTGCCGCCTTGGCCCATTCACTGCCAGCCCCCTGCTGTGAAGCCACAGTGCAGGCGAGGCCTGAGTGCTGGGAGTGGCCGTCCCTCGGGAGGCCCGTGGAGGGAGGCCCGTGGGGGGAGGCCCGTGGGGGGAGGCCCGTGGGGGGAGGCCCGTGGAGGGAGGCCCGTGGGGGAGGTCCGTGGGGGGAGGCCCGTGGGGGGAGGCCCGTGGAGGGAGGTCCGTGGGGGGAGGCCCGTGGGGGGAGGTCCGTGGAGGGAGGTCCGTGGGGGGAGGCCCGTGGGGGGAGGTCCGTGGGGGAGGTCCGTGGGGGGAGGCCCGTGGGGGAGGTCCGTGGGGGGAGGCCTGTGGGGGGAGGCCTGTGGGGGGAGGTCCGTGGGGGGAGGTCCGTGGGGGAGGCCCGTGGGGGGAGGCCCGTGGGGGGAGGCCCGTGGGGGGAGGCCCGTGGGGGGAGGTCCGTGGGGGAGGCCCGTGGGGGGAGGGCCGTGGGGGGAGGCCTATGGGGGGAGGCCTGTGGGGGGAGGTCCGTGGGGGAGGTCTGTGGATGGAGGCCCGTGGGGGATGCCCGTGGGGGGAGGTCCGTGGGGGAGGTCCGTGGGGGGAGGCCTTTGGGGGGGGGGGAGGCCTGCTTGCACTGAGCTGTGGAGGCAGCATGGCCCAGGCAGTGCTTCTCAGCATTTGGTCCCAGTACAGCCCCAGGTTAGCGCCCCTCCCCAGGGCCTGCACCTCATGCTGGGTGCCCGCCTCCCGTTTCCTGCTGCAGGTGGCACCCGCGTTGTCATGGATCTCTCTTTGTGCCGTGGCCTGGTTTCGGCAAGTTATCCCAGTTTTAAACTTTGCTTACGGGTTTGAGATGGTGTGGCGAGTGACGACAAATGTTCTTTTCCACTTAGGTTTTGTTTTATTACTTCTTGGTTCTTATTTTCTTTGAACGACTCGTGCTGAGGGATACATGAATCGGGGTTTGCCATTTTCCCTCTGCTGCTGTGTGGAAACCTGTCCTTGCCTACTTACCAGGAAGGAGTGCAGGCTAATGGGATGACCTTCATCTCAAGACCACAGGAAATCATAGCTTTGGAATGTTTCCTGTGGCCCCAGCTGAAGGCTGGCTTCCCTGGCTGCTGTCACGCGGATTTTCACTGTGGGGTGGAAGGGACCAGACCAGTGCAGCTAAGAGCCAGGAGCCCAGGACTCCCACTGGGACCGAGCCCTCCCCTCGGCTGCTGGCATCTGGGCCGGTTGCTCCTTCCTGGTGGGCTGCCCTTTGGGTCGCAGGATGTCTGGCAGCCCCTCTGGCTCCACCCAGTAGCGACCCTGGAGTTGTGGCAACCAAGACACCTCCACACATCGCCAGACGCCCCGGGCAGAATCACGCACCTTCCCACCAGGTTAGAACCACGCCCGCAGAGGCCCCAGCACACTGGGCTAAAAGGCGCGCGTGCTCCTCCCTTCCCCTGCTTCCGGCCCAGTCCCCTGGGGTTGAGCTGTGTGAACATTCCTATGTTGTTCCTTCTCCGCCTTGAATGCTTTAGCTCTTCACTTCCTGGCGCTTATTGTGTGCACAGTCGAGACCTCAGGGCCCCCCCCACTCCCTGGGACGCATTATTCTGTGATGCTCCCCAGGGTTTCCCAATGGCCTTTCTGGTTTCTTGCCTTAAAATGGTAGTAAATCCGAGGCCCCAAAAGCAACCATCGAAACGGGCTCTGACCCTCCAGTGCCAGCACCTCCTGTATTGCAGGCTGATCCCTCCCCTCCGGCCCCCTCTCCTTCCTTTCCTGCTCTGTGCCATACGTTTAAGAGTTACAGTTTAAATGTAAGTCTTACACTCTGCTGGAGAGGAAAGAAAATATTTGAAAAATTGAAAGAAAACACCCATGGAAAGACCCCGTCCGTGCTCTGTGGAATGGTTTCCTAGATTTCATTCTAATTCCTTCATCGCGGTGACCATTTCAGGTGGCTTAGGGGGATTTTCAGAAACCAGAGAATTAATCTTTGAAACCTTTTTTTTTTTTATTGTCGTGGACTTGCTCAGAGCCCATCTCCTTGCTTTCTGTTACTCATTCACACCCATTAGAACAGCACAGTTCACCGGCATCCCCACTGTGTGTATCTTCCAGCAGCTCTGATGTTCAGGCTGGGCCGACTCTAATGCCTGTGAGGCGTCTGTTCTCAGCGTTTATTGTCCTCTCTCACATTTCCCAGCGAAACTAGGCTGCTCTGTGTGCGAGAAGAATACTTTCCGTCAGCCTGGTGCATCTGTCTGGCTTCTGCCACTGACATGGATTTAATCGCTCCATCACCGGCTGTTGTTGCTTCATGGAGTGGAGCGCCCTCCACCGGACATGGTGAGCGGTGTCTGTTGGGAGGCAGCTGCCGGCGGCCTTGGTCCCCTGTGCTCTTTCGCTGTTGTGCTGGGTGAGGCGGATGAGACTACAAGCTGCAGACTGGCCCGAGGTCACACAGAGGCATGGAGCTGGATGTGGACCAGGAGCACTGGGTCCTGAGCCGTCGTGCTTTCCCACGGGAGCCGGCTCTTCTGGGAGGCTGCATCCATCCCTGGGGTTTAAGGACAGTTGAAACTCGGTGTCAGCCTGGCTTTATCGTCAACGCTGTGCTTTGAGCTTAACCTCCCTGAGCCTAATGAAATTTCCCCTTCTGTAAGTTGGGGTGACAGTGACCTCACAGGATTCTCACAGGAGAGGGAGGCCTCCACTTTTGGAGAATACGAGGAGGGCGCTGGTCCGGCCTGGGGCGGGGCGGTGATGTTTAGTTATGTCCTAAGACCCAGAGAGTAGGAGCAGGCGCAGAGCTAGCACTCAGCCTGCGGGAGGACTCTCAGCGCTCTCGCCCACTCTCGCCGGCCCTGGAGAGCTGCTTGATCCTGCTAATCCACTCCCACGCCGCCTCCATCCAGCACTGTGCCTGCCTCTGGGGTTCTCTTTCTGGTTCAAGTGAGTGGGGAATCAGTTCTTTACTGTGGAGTTTGAATTCTGAAAGAAGGTGGAATGTGAAGGGAAGAATCTGGCTGGTGGATGGGTACAACACAGAAGGCTCAGTCTGGGGAAAATGATGGGAAAACAGAGGGACAGGACTAAGAAAAGATAGCATGGTAAACAGGACGGGGTCCAGATGGGAAAGTGCTCTGGGTACATTCATTTGGGAATAATTTGATTGGTTTGGGAGGTTCTAGGAGAATAAAAAAAGTGTCATGATACCAATGAAGTACCCCTAGAATTTTGCTTCAGAGCACACATCTCATCAGTCTCTGAAAAAGGGCTGAGTGCTTGGACAGTTCTCAGGAGCGTGTCCAGGAGGCTGCCCGACTTGTTGCCAGAGTAAGAGAGGCATTTAGGCGTGAACTGAGATGGCTTTTTTTTTTTTTTAATCCTCACCCAAGGAGTGAGATTTTTTCCATTGATTTTTTTTTTTTTTTTTTTTTTTTTTTTTTTTTTAGAGAGAGTGAAACAGAGGGGGAGGGCGAGAGAGAGAAACATGGATGCAAAAGGACACATCGATTGGTTGCCTCCTGCGCGTGCCCCAACCCGGGGCGGGAATGAACCTGAGACCCTGGTACGTGCCCTTGACCAGGAATTGGACCTGTGACCCTCGGGTGTGCAGGCCAACACTCTAGCCCTCAAGCAGCACCAGCCAGTGGCTTTTCCTTTTTAACCAAGGTCTTAGGATCCTGGAAAATTGGGGCAAAGATGGCAAGAAAAGTTTCCATCCTCTCCTGCTGCTTTCCACCTTCATATTCTTATCTTTCTTTTGGGGAATAAGTGAGAGGCATTTCAGTTCTGGGGTAAGCTGGGCAGATTTTGGAAAATGTAGAGGCATTACAGACAGAATCACCTTATGCTTTCATAAAGTAAGCCCTGTCATACTTACTTCTAAGTAGTTGTAATCTACATAAAAGGGCGCCTGATTAAACAGATATTTTATGAAGTCATCTCCTTGAATCAGACTGGCATGCCAATAGTTGGTTCTGTGGTAACTGGTAAGCTTCCTCAGTAATTCTCTTCAAGAATCACTCAGGATATGTTAGTTTATTTTATATTGGGAGTCCTAATAAACTTACTTAGCTTAGCACTTTTTTCACTGTTGCTGTGGAAAACAGCATTAAAAATTGTGGGTCAAGAACGCGAAAATACTCCTTACCCCAGGAAGGTGTGCGAGCACCAAGCGGGTGGCAGGCAGACTAGGGGTACCCTGGGACATTTGCTGAGTGGCTCCGGGCCTAGCACTGGCACCGAGTTTGAACTGTGTCAGTGTGTGAAGTAGAAAAACAACTCAGTCACAGACAACAGTATGGTGATTATCAGAGGGAAATGGGGGTGGGGGAAGGTAAAAGAGAGTAAAGTGGGGATAAATGGCGATGGAAGGAGACTGGGGGTGGTGAACACACAATACAATATACAAATGGTGTATTACAGAATTGTACACCTGAGACCTACATAATTTTATCAACCAATGCCACCCCAATAAATCTAATTTTAAAAAGAATGCTGCTATTAAAAAATTGTGACTGCAGAATGAAAAGGTAGAGAGTTGAAGAATGGCAAGAGAGGTTGGATAGACCACCCATGTTACTGGTCAAACCTCGTCCTTTTGGGGAGGGAGATAACGGAGTCTGACGCAGCTGTGACGTGCTCCCGGTGCTCACGGCAGCATGCTGGTGGTCAGTGACAGCCGGAGAGAAACCAGATTGCCCAGCTGCTGGCCCAGGACTCACTTTGCTCTTTCTCGATGGCCTGTTCAGGGCTTGTTTATCTGTTCAGCTGGAGGCAGCAAGCGAAGCCCTACGAAACAGCTCGTGAATACCTAAAGGGGTTCGCCATCAAGTGTAAATGAGAACAGTACAGGGAAGACCTCGGAAGGAACTGTCAGAGAGGAAAATACTCATTGTGCTATTTGAGCCAAAATTTGAAAAATGAGAGGAACGATGGTATCCCAAGTGTGTGGACCAGCAAAGGTACACACCCCTGTGGGAGAATGAGAACATTGTCGGAGAGCAGGAATGGGGTAAGGAAGCAGAGTCTGCTGGGCTCAGGGAACCTGTGTTGGGGGGTAACTCAACTGCTGCTTGGTGAGGAAGGAACTGGGAGATATGGAAAGAGCAGGAAAAGGGAAGGTTAGCAGAGTCTTATTAGACACTAGAGGCCCAGTGCATGACATTCGTGCCCTGGTGGGGGGCACTGTTCTATGGCGGCAGTGGACATCCCCCAAGGGATCCTTAGCGCTGCCGTGGAGGCAGGAGAAGCTCCCACCACCACCACTGTGCTTGCCAGCCGTGAGCCCGTCTTCTGGCTGAGCAGCGCTCCCCCTGTGGGAGCACACTGACCACCAGGGGGCAGCTCCTGTGTTGAGTGTCTGCCCCCTGGTGGTCAGTGCATGTCATAGTGATTGGTTGTTTTGCCATTTGGTCGATTTGCATATTAGCCTTTTATTATATAGGACTAGAGGCCCGGTGCACAAAAATTTGTGCACTTGTGGGGGGGGGGGGGGTCCCTCAGCCCGGCCTGTGCCCTCTCGCAGTCTGGGACCCCTTGGGGGATGACCACCTGCTGGCTTAGGCCTGCTCCTCGGGGGATTGGGCCTAGCTGGCAATCAGACATCCCTCTGGCAGCCCGGCAGCCCTCGGGGGATGTCCACTTGCCAGCGGGGAGCAGGCCTAAGCTGCAGTCGGACATCCTTAGTCCTGCTGAGGAGGCGGGAGAGGCTCCCACCACCACCGCTGTACTGGCAGCCATCAGCCTGGCTTGTGGCTTAGCAGAGCTCCTCCATGTGGGAGCTCACTGACCACCAGAGGACAGCTCCTGCATTGAGCGTCTACCTCCTGGTGGTCAGTGTGTGTCATAGTGACCAGTCATTCCCAGTCTTTCTGCTGTTAGGGTCAGTTTGCATATTACCCTTTTACTATATAGGATAGAGGCCTGGTGCACGGGTGGGGGCTGGCTGGTTTGCCCTGAAGGGTGTCCCGGATCAGGGTGGGAGTCCCGCTTGGGTGCCTGGCCAGCCTGGGTGAGGGGCTGATGGCTGTTTGCAGCTGGTCACACCCCCTTCAGGGTGGGGGTCCCCACTGGGGTGCCTGGCCAGTCTGGATGAGGGGCTGATGGCTATTTTCAGGCTGCCTGCACCCCCTTTAGGGTGGGGGTCCCCACTGGGGTGCCTGGCCAGTCTGGATGAGGGGCTGAGGGCTGTTTTCAGGCTGGCCAAGCCGGCGACAGAAGCTCCCAGCCTCTCCTTTTTTTCTTTTTCTTTTTTATTCTGGGATTTATTTACCTTCTATAATTGCAACTTTGTTGCTGCTCCAGCTCCGAGGCCAGGGCCTCTGAAAGCAGGTATCTGGGGTTTGTTTAGTTTCTATAATTGAAACTGTTGCTTTCAGAGCTTAGAGCCGGGCCGCGGCAGGCAGGGAACCTTGGCTTCCTCCATCAGTAGAGCAAGCAAGCCTCCTGCTCGCTTCAGCTGCGTGGCTGCCGGCCGCCATCTTGGTTGGGTTAATTTGCATATCCTGCTGATTAGCCAATGGGAAGCATAGCGGAGGTATGGTCAATTACCATGTTTATCTATTATTAGATTAGATAGTTGATAGAGAATGAAGGGTCCACTGGATTCTAGTTAGTAAATATAAGCTTCATAAGAGCAAAGATTTTCTTTGTCTGTTGTACTCTCTATTGTATCCTCTGTGCATAGAACAGTGTAGACATGAGGTAAACACTCAGTAAAATTTGTTGAATGAACAGACAAGTGAATGAACTACTAAAATATGGGTCCCAACAGGATTGAAGTTCTTGACTGAAGGGATAATGTAATAGAAACAGTGTCCAATGAAGAATATTTTTGCAGATGTGGAATGAATGGTCTCAATATGTAAAGGATCAGAGATAAACCCTCCAATATGAAATGACATGATGGAGACTCAAATAAGAATTGTAATCACAGGAAGAGAAAAGACAAGGGTAGAAGGAAAATAAATGGAGGGGAGAGAATATAATATGGACTTAGATCTGGAAGCACAAAGATACCTTTTATTTTTTTTTAATTATTATTATTTTTTAAATCTTTATTGTTCAGATTATTACAGTTGTTCCTCTTTTTTCCCCCCATAGCTCCCCTCCACCCGGTTCCCACCCCATCCTCTGCCCTTACCACCCCCCACTGTCCTCATACATAGGTGTATGATTTTTGTCCAGTCTCTTCCCGCATCCCCCCCCACACCCTTTTCCCCCCTAGAATTGTCAGTCCACTCCCTTTCTATGCCCCTGATTCTATTATATTCACCAGTTTATTCTGTTCATCAGATTATTTATTCACTTGATTTTTAGATTCACTTGTTGATAGATAT